GCCCAGCAGGCAGCCAAGCCTCACAAAGGTGTCTCTCATCATTCCCAGCAGGATGTGGTAGAGAACTGTGAAGGTGGGAACACTCCTGGGTTGTGATACAGTTTTAACAGCTGCAGCAAACCTGCACACACAAGGCAGGGCAAAGTAAGGGATCCTTCCCTGCTTCCCATCGCTCAGCAAACAGGGGAAAAAAACAGAGCTTGACCTGGGAAGATGAATGCCATAACACTGAACATTTTCCTCCCCCATTTCCAGCCCCGCTCCTCTGTTCAGTCCCCTCAAACTGTGTGGGTGGAAAGGCTGTGCCACTCCAGGAGTAAGATCTTGGGTTTGTGTTTTCAGAGGTTCTGTCAGCACATCTCCCAGCCTCTGGGGTCCCCCTGACTGGTGTCACCTGCCAGGTGCTGAGGGGACACACTGACTGTTGTCCAGGTCATTACTGACAGTGCTAAAAACAGGAACATCTGCTTCACACAAGGACTATCATCAGATCACTCTGGGTGACATAACTGACTGGCTTTTCAGAACAGAAATAATTTACTGCTTTTTAAAATTCTCTGCAACAATGTGATCCCAAATCAGTCAAGCTGTTAGGCTTGGGAACAGTCATGTGTAACACACAGTTGCAAGGGAATTGTCTGCCTTTATTTTGCCCTATTTCTGCCCAACCAGAAAATTTAGAATTTGCTTCAGGTGAGCAAATGTTTTAATGAAAACAGGTACAGATGAGTTACTCCATCACTTCTGTTCTCTCTTCAGTTTCATGTGGTCCTTTGAGAAGATTCACAGGAGCATTGCCCACATCTTCCAGGGTGAGCTGGTGGCCAGCTTTGATGAAGAATTCCGCATTCTGTTTGCACAGTCAGAGCCTCTGGTTCCTCCAGCCAACGTCCTGGCAAAGGCAGAGAACAACTTTGCCCTGGCTCCCTTTGGCAATAACATGCCCTTCTTCCCCAAGAAAGGGCCCCTGATGTTCCAGAGGGACGAGAGCCTCTTCCCCTCCTTCATGGACAGGGTGGATCCCGACAGGTACTTCCTGTCCAATTTCCGGCGGGACGACATGCTGCGGCACACCGTGGAGGGGTCGGCCATGCGGATGTACAAAAAGGTGGAAATGGAGAATTCCCAGATGGATCCCGTCAGGGGCTTCCTCCGTTCCAAGCAGCTGGAGCTGGATGCTTTTAAGAGACACAGTTTTGCAGAAGGAACGTTTGAAAATTTTGCTTCTGCCAAGCAGTACACCCGGCAGATGTTCATGAACAACATGGACGAGTTCAAAATCCAATCCAGTCATTTCCAGAAGGACCAGTTCTACCAGTACCAGTTTGAACATCCCCATCTTCCTGGCAGACCTCAGGGATTCTTTGAGAGGATTCGAGGGGGGAGGCCGGGATTCAATGAGCTGGAAGACTATGGAGAGGGACCCCGATACCCTGAACTGGAGCCCAGTTATTCACAGGAGGGTTTTCCCCTGCGGCTGGACTACGTGCCCTCCAATTCTTCCAGGGAGGTGAGACACGGCTCCGACCAGCTGAATCCCGCGGGCAATGGCCCCATGGGAATGATGCTACGGAGGCAGAACATTGGACAGAAATTCATCTGCCAGACTTCTCCCACGCAGAAGCAGAGCCTGGAGCAGCGCCTGTTCCTGCAGGACAAGGATGAGGAGCAGGATGACGACAAGAGCACGCAGGAAAACAGAACGGGCTTGCGGAACTGGAGGATTTCCTCGTACCTCAGCGCGTACCAGTCGGAACCAGATGAGGGGCTCCCAATGCCGATGGAGTCCGAGGCGTACAACGATGCTCTGGGGGATCCCCTCACAAAGCACCCCACTGACCTCGTCCCAGCCTTCAAACCCCCCACGCCCTTCAGCAGCAAACTGGGAATTGACAGTGCCAAGGAATCTGCGGATTCTGATAGAGCAGGTGAAGAAACCTCCATCATGAAACCAGATGCCTTCAGGTCCAGAATAAATCCCTTGATCCAGAGGAGCTCCAGGCTCAGGTCCTCTCTGATTTTCAGTGCTGCCAAATTAGATCAGCCCAACACCACAATAGAAAAGGTGCAGATGATCCAGAAAGAGCAAATGTCCAGTGAGTTAACAAAGGACAATGAAACCATCAAGACGGCTGCCTCCTCCAAAGTGGCCGAGCTGCTGGAGAAGTACAAAGCTGTAGGCAAGGACATGGAACGGGGCACGGTCACCCACACCAAAGCTGTTTCAGGTTACCTACAGGAGGAATCTCAGAATACGGAGAAGAAATGTACCAAATCTGTGCAGTATAAGATTCTGGAGAGCAGGGTGCTGGACTCCAAAGACTCCTGCAGTACTTACAAGATGCATGGGGATTTGGACAGAGCATTTGGAATGGCCTCATCCACCCCCCAGCTTGGGGACGCGTTGAGTAAAGATCCCCTGGGACATCTTGGCACTAAGGTGGACAAACTGTCATCCCGGTTTTACCCCATCGAGAACAAACCTCCTCTTCCAGAGAAGGAGAGTCTGATATTTGTAGGAGACACTCAGAAATTGGCTCTTCCAGAGAAGAAGGACAGAGTGACCTTCAGAGAAGACTCTCCAAAATTAGTCAACACAGAAATTAAGAAACCACAGGTGAGGACAAGTACTACGTCCTCAGTTCTAGAAAGCCTGTCCAGAAGTCAAGGGTCTGACAGCTCTCTCAACAAGTCTGAGGAAGACTGTTCAAAACAAGAGCAAAATCCCATGGAGTTTTTAAGAAAAGGGTCACTACGGCTGAAGCAGTTTTTGAACCCAAAAGGTGAAAAGAAATTGGAGGAGGAACCTGCTTCTGAGAGTGGGAAATGTGACAAGCAGGCAGTGGTGCTCAAACGATCATCCATAGGGGACTGCCAGGAAGCAATGGAGGAAGAAAAACCCCCCAAATTCGCAGCCCCACTGCCCCCCAAGAGCAGCCAGACAACGCAGGGGAGGTTCCCGTCCTCCACAGCCAACATCCTGTACAGCAGCAACCTGCGCGATGACACCAAGGTGATCCTGGAGCAGATCTCTGCCAACAGCCAGAAGAACAGAGCCGAGCTGGCCAAGCAGCTGCCGTCCACCAGCAACCCCGACCTCTCCAGGTCCACCACAAGCTTGGAAAGAAAAGGGGAAAAGGAGAAAAGCTGCAACATCCACAGGTCAGAGAGCTTTGGGAGCCAGAAGCGGAACCTGCAGCGGCAGCCGTCGGAGGACAGAGACACCCTCCTCAAGAAGATGGAGAACATGAGGAAGGAGAAGCGAGTCTACAGCAGGTTTGAGGTGTTCTGCAAGAAGGATGAGCACACTAGTCCCAGTGAAGAGGAATATGACACAGATGCCAAAGACAAGAAAATGGGAAAATTCATGCCCAAAATCCTGGGGACCTTCAAGACCAAAAAATGATCCTAGAAATCCTATTTAATTCCATTTAATCACTGACTGTCACAGGGAAACGAGGAAGAAACTTGTCCATGATGGCTGCAAACCCCAATGGCAATGCTCTTCTTCATTAGTGAGCAGAAATGTATCCAGCGTGAGCCTCCCACGGCACAGTTTGCTCAATAAAGTCAGGTGGTATCAAACCTTATCACAGTATGTTCCAAATAAAACAATTAAAATGCCAACGTGCTTAAAAAACAAGTCTCTGTTACTGTCCAAACTAAGTGATAGTCTCTGTTAAACCCAAGGAGTATTTTCAGCAGAAAAAAAAAAATTCAAATTTCAGAAAAAAAAGAAAACCAGAAAATTCAGTACTTCAGTTTGGGCCAGAAAAGAGAAATACATACAGACACACACACACAGGTATTAACTGGAAAAAAGTATTTAAAGCTCAGTGTTTTCTCAGGTGCAGTTATGCTTTTTCTGTATCTCACAATGAATCAGACACAGGAGGCACCTTTTTGAAGGTGTGCATACAAAAAATATTTGTAATCAAAGTTCCGGCTTATCTGTGGTTCTGATCTTCTCCAGCTTTTGTGTTTACTGAGCCTGTGGGGCCTGGTTTGTTCCCCTGTGTAAAGGGAATTATCTGCTTTAGAGGCTGAGCTCAAAGAAGCTGCTGAGGTGCTACTGACGGAGAAGGGCTTGGCTTTAGGAGGCTTTTTCAGACGAGTCTCAGTTTAAATAAGTATCTAAAGTCCTGCCTTGGCCAAGCAGTGTGGAGTTCATGAGGTGACAGGTCTAGAGCAGCTGAGAGAGCTGGGGGGAATTACAATCATTGATCACAGGCAGAGTAAAACCTCAGGGACAGAGACAAGAGCTTCAAGTTAATGAGGAAAATGTATCCAAAACCATCACTGAAGCAGGAATATAAAGTTTCCTGTAGTCCCACTGTAGACTGGCTACACCTTTACAATATCTCAGCAATAGTACCTCATGAAACTTTGCTTTCTGAAAGCAAAACCAATAAAAATGACCAATTATTCTTTGAAGAAGACAGCCCTACCAATAGGCAGTTTCCCTCTCAACACAGCAAATACTGCGTGAAGACAAAGTTTCTGCAGTGCAATATAAAGGATTTATTATTAGAGTATTACGTACTAGAGAAGTTGTTAAATATTATAGGAGAACCCACCTGTATTTCAAATTATTTTAACAAAACCAGACCAGAATGAATTCTGTTCATCTAGCCTAGAACAGTCATAGAAATGAGTGAAGGGCTGTAAGATTATCTGTGAAGAGTTAGGTCTTCAGAGAAGTTACCTGTTCTGCTCAAAAGAATATCCATCATTTAGGCAGACTGCTGAAGAATCCTGGGATGGGTTGGAAAGGACCTTTTAAAGGTCACCCAGTCCCAACCCTGCCTGGCATGGCAGGGACACCTCCCACTGTCCCAGGCTGCTCCCAGCCCTGTCCAGCCTGGCCTGGGGCACTGCCAGGGATGCAGGGGCAGCCACAGCTGCTCTGGGCACCCTGTGCCAGGCCTGCCACCCTCACAGGAAAGGATTTCTTCCCAACACCCCATCCACCCCTGCCCTCTGGCACTGGGAGCCATTCCCCTTGTCCTGTCACTCCAGGCCCCTGTCCAAAGTCTCTCTCCAGCTCTCCTGGAGCCCCTTTAAGGGGCTCTGAGGTGTTCCTGGAGCCTTCTTTCCTCTAGGCTCGACACCTCCAGTTCTCCCAGCCTATCTCCAGAGCAGAAGGACTCAAGCCTTCAGAGTATTTTCTTGGCCTTGCACTAGGCCTTGTTGAACTTCAGGAGGTTCCCCTGGACCCTGAATATGTCTAAAAACCACTCCAGTATCAGAACAATGCAGTTTTCTGTGGTTTTTGCAGTAATTCAAACAATGAGTGTGAAGTGGCAGCGTTCACTGCTCTCATGGTGTGAGAGCAGACACGCTGAGTCCTTGCCTGCTGAGACTGGAAGGCAGAGGAGTGGGATTCCCTTTCCCATGAGCTTGTCCAGAGCAGAGGAGGACATGGTCCTGAGTAGTGAATAAAGCATTTCCTCCTGGAGTGCTCTCCCCTGCTGCTCTTGCCCTGTCAGGGCTGAGGGATGAGCTGTGCTCCACCTGTCTGGACCATCTCCAGTCACTGCTCAGGGTTCTTGGAGGCCTTTGCTATTGGAAGGCTTTGCAGTGCAGATTTACTGATGGTTCCATAGGCCTGCGAGTAGCTGCCCATGGATGCCCTTGGGTCACCTGCAGCTCCCACATTTGCAGTGATCTGGAACATCTTTTTACTGGGCTTCAGAAGGGGACGAACATCCTTGCTGGGACACTGAGAGTTTCTGGGATTCTGTGTGAGAAAGAAAAGTTAATAAGCCAGAATCAGCTTTCTGGAGTGCAAATAGGACACAGGTTTGGCTTTGTTTCCTCTCAGGAAACAAACACAAACTCAGGGCATGTGTAGGCTGATCTCTCTCTTCTGCTCTTGTCACAGAAAATTGGTCGGAATTCCCTGAAGATCCTTCCAAATGCATTGGTTATGTCTACACCTGCATGTACAGCAAGCTCCACAATCTCATCTTGGGGAATTAATGGCTTGTCTTTCTCTGAAAACATTTTGGAAGGGATTCCAAATTAGAGGGACTGAAAGGTGGTCTACAAGTGTGCTACTGGAAATGCCTGAAGGTTTCTGACAACCTGGACTAGTGGAAGCTGTTCCTGACCATGGCAGAGGGGTGGAACCTCCCTTTAGGTGCCTTCCAACCCAGGCAGTCTGTGATGCAGTGAATCTGTGCTGCCTCCTTCCATGCCCTTCATTTGTCACAAGGTTCCTCCGTCACCTCTGCAGGTGCCAGCAGGCAGCAGGCAGCCAGCTCAGGAAGGAAAACAGCAGGAGCAAGAGGTCATTAAAGCACCCAGTGAGGGGAGGACTTCTCCAAGGAAGCATGGCCAAAATCAGGGAAGAGAAGGAGCAGAGAGGACAGGACTGACACCCTCACAGCTCAGCAACAGCAACCCATTAGATCCACAGAATCACAAAATCAGAGAATCACTAAAAGACTTCTGGGCCCATTGTGTCCAGCTGCTCCCCCAGCACTGCCAAGGCCATCACTGACCCCTGACCCCAAGTGCCATTAAATCTGTTAAAGCCCCCAGGAGATGGGGACTCCACCACTGCCCTGAGGCGATCTGTGCCAGGGCTGCACAGCCCTTTACAGGTGGGTTTTTTCCAATATCCAACTAAACCTCCCCTGGAACCACCTGAGGCAGTTTCCTCTCATCCCATCGCTGTTTCCTGAGGAGACCCTGACCCCACCTGGCTGCACCTTCCAATCAGGAAGCTGCAGAGAGTGAGAATGTCCTCCCTGTGCCTCTTCTCTCCACAGCTGCTGCTGCAGTTCCAGCAGCTCTGTTCCCCCAGCTCTGTTCCCTTCTCTGGGCACACTCTAGTCCCTCCATGGGGCTCCTCCTTTCTTGTTGTGAAGAGCCCAACCTTGCCCCCAGGGCTGGAGGTCCCTCAGCAGTGCCCAGCACAGGGGATGGTCACTGCCCTGCTGTCTGGCCACACCGTGGCTGCCACAAGCCAGGCACCTCTGGCCTCTTGCCCACCTTGGCTCATCTTCAGCTGCTGTCATCAGCACCAGCAGGTGACCCTTTCCAGCTTTCTGGAGCGCTACAGGGAGTTGCTGTGACCCAGGCAAGCACAGGTAAGGGCTAGAAGTTAAGCTACTCACATTGTAAAGGTTCTGCACACTTGTAGGAGAGAGCTGAGTGTTTGGCCATGTGATTTGTCTCCCTAGTTTCTCATTGTTGGGGATTCTGGACTGTTGAGGTGGTGCAGAACAGTTCCTGATCCCAGCACCAGGATTTGCATTTCCTGCAGAAGGAAAAACATGAGAGAAAGTAGGAAAATCAGCAGAACACATTGACTGAGGCAGAGACAGTCCCATACTCAACACTCATTCACCAGTGTTTTGTTCTTATGTCACGTCCCTCCCACACTTCCAGCTCCTCATCTCACCATGCAAATTCCCCTCATTTATTTCACAGCACTCACGCTCTCTTCCCCACACAACAGCCCAAGGTGTGTCACACGCCGGTGTAGGAGGTGGTACCCACTCTGCACAGTGGTGTGTGTGATGGGGTTGTACATCATCACACTCATCTGGGGTCTCTGCCCCAAGTCCTTTCTTTGGCTGGGCCCTGCAGGCTGGGCCCCAGCTGTAGCTGCAGGGGGCACATGTGGATGGTTTGGCACAGGGGGTGCTGGCTCTTGCTGCCCTTTCCTGGTGGGTGCAGCCTCTGAGCTGACACCTGGCTGAGCTGTGCTGCACTCAGACTGGCTCAGCTGAATGTTTTCTCTCTGCCCTGGCTCCTTTGGAAGGTTCTTTTGCTTCTTTTCAAGGATCATCTGCAGAACAGAAAAGCTACTTAGACTTAACACAGCAATACAGCAGAAAAATAAAACATCAAAACAAAGAAGAATACTTATAAATATCTGCAATTTATTTTGCAGGGTAAGTAACAAGTATAATTTTGCAACTAGATGATCTTTAAAGTACCTTTCAACCCAAACCATTCTGTGAATCTTTCTCAGACATCATACTTCAGAGATTTTTGTTTCCCCTGTGTGAATTTTACATGTAAAGGTCTCTCAAATATTAGGACAGAATGGAACTGATCAAACACCCAGGTGTAACAGTGCCAGCAGGTACAGAAAACCCAGGGGAACACAGAGACAAGACAATGACAGAATTTGGTAAGTGTGTGCAAGAATGGCAGGTTACCTGGAGGATTAGGATTTTGGTAAATAGAACAAAAATACCTCATATAATTTATTTCTATATTCTGCCACAGACAGCTGGACATCATCACCCAAAGGAAGGATCACATCAAAATCCAAAGAGGGTTCCCTGGAAGGACAGTGGAATCTGAGGGAATGAGAACACATCATGTAATTCACTGACTGGAAACAGATTATTAAAATTTAAACAGGATTGTTAAACAAGCGCATGTAAAAAGGGTTGGAGAAAATAAAGAATTAGCTTTGCCATTTTTTCTCTAATGCATTTAAAGAAAATTTGAGCCAAGGGCAGGTTTGTAATGTCTCAGAAGGCATCAGGGGAAGCTGCACACTGGTGTCACTCTCACCTGCTCACGTAAGGATGCTGCAGAGCCTCCTCTGCTGTGAGCCTTTTGTCAGGGTTAAAGACCAGAAGTTTCTTCAGCAGATCCAAGGCAGGCAGTGGAGTGGAGGGTGGGAAAATCTCCTCAAATGCCACTCGCTGCCTAGAAGTCAGAAGGAAATTATACAAGCTCTCAGTGTCTAATTTCCAGAGAAGGCAGGAATGACAGCTCCAGGATCATGCCAAGGTGACACCAGGCACAAGTTCACTCACCAAGTGTGCCATAATCACTGAATCTTAGAATGGTTTGGCCAGGAAGGAACCTTAAAGCTCATCACTTCCCAGCCCCATGATCCTGCAAATGTAGACCTCAGATTACTGTAGACCTCAGAAACATACTTCTCTGTAATTTACAGAGAAGATAAAATTTAAAAATCTGGTTTTGGATTTTGAAATCCCAAATACAATTGTGAACATAATGAAGAAGAAAGTATCTTGAAAAAAAATCAGTTTTAAGCACCAAATCTTACTCATATTTTAAATTATTTTTATTTAAGGAGACAACTCAGAGCCCCTTCCAGTCTGTAACAGGCTCAAAGGCAGCTGGAGAGGGACTTTCAACAAGGGTGTGGAGTGACAGCACAAGTGGGAAGGGCTTCCCACTGCCAGAGGGCAGGGTTAGATGGGATACTGGGAAGGAATTACTGCTTGTGAGGGTACTGAGGGACTGGAAAGGTTTCCTGGAGAAGCTGTGGCTGCCCCATCCCTGGAAGCCCAGGCTGGATGGGGCTTGGAGCAGCCTGGTCCTGTGAAAGGTGTCCCTGTCCATGTCAGGGAGTGGAATGAAGTGAGCTTTGAGATCCCTTCCCACCCAAACTGTTCTGTGGTTCTGTGACTCCAGGGTCCTACATTAGATGATCTGAGACCCACAAACACCTCAGGCTTACCTGGAACTCATGTGCTTAATAACTGAGGCCTTGTACTCCGACTGCAGAGCCAAAATATCTGCAAGAATTAAAACATATTGTTACTGCCAAGATGAGGATTAGCAGAGCTGCACAGTTTATGAAGGAAAGCCAACATTTGATATTAATGTAGGAAATTATCCACACAGAACTCGGTCGGAGATCTATGGAAGGGGGATGGAATACTTACTTACGAATTTTCTAAGTTGATTTTTGAATTCCTATTTATTAATCATACACTTCATAAACTTGCATTCTCACAGCAACAGATGCAGAGCACCACGACATCTGAATTTCTGATTTTTTCTAACACTGACATTCAAGATGAGGATTTTAATTCCTTTGGAAAGGTGCCAGAATGAATGAGATTCCTCCTTCCCTGACCCAGCCAGGCTGCTTTCTTGCACTGGAGCCCTTCTCTAGATCCCTTTCCCCACAGCAGGGTCCCACCTTCTGGGGACGGGGAAGGGATGACCCTCAGGATCTGCTCTATCTGGTTCATTGTTGATGTTCCAGGAAAAAGAGGCTTTCCAAGCAGCATCTCTCCAAGAATACAGCCAATGCTCCACATGTCCACACCCTTAGTGTAACTATAAACAGGAACAGAACAGAGGTAGGATTAAATCAAGCAAATATTTTCCTGTACCTGGTATTCACATCACCTGCATTGATTTATTTGCTAGAAAGCGTGCTTGGTGACTTCTCAAATATAAACGCTCACAGGTTTGAACTATAAATTGAATAACATTTGGGAATCATGAGACTGGCAAGAATGAAACAGAAAGGAGATTTATCCTTCTCAAAGTATAGTCTAAAAAAATATAAAAGGAAATACGTTACAGGGAAATGCTAGAACAAGGTAATATATTAAAGGTAATGCCAGAACAAGGTATTATACCCTTTTCATATGACCAAGAATAAAGATACACATTGTTCTTTGGTCATAATGTACGTACAGAGTAGTCGCAATTACTTAAAAATTACATTTTTAAGCAAAGTAAATGCCAAACAGTGGGTATAGGACAGTTTGCAAAACACCCACACCTAAAATTCAGGATAATACCCCGCATCTATTTATTGACTTTTCTGGCTCTTCATATTTAATTTTTAAGGAAAGGACTAATCCCAACAAACAGGCAGCTGGTTTAAAATTTGATTAGGGAATATTTTGTGAAGGTCTATCAAAAAACACCACTTCAGTATGGAAAAGAGGATTCAGGTTCTCAAGCAGATGTTGGAAAGTTGTGGGTTTAAGGGAGAAGACTTAAGTCTGGTGGGAGAAAGGGTGACAAGCAGATGAGCTGCTCGTGTATGTCCATTGACACTCTAAGAACACAGTGTGAAAAGTGAATATTACATGGCTCTACGCAGATATTTACCATATGTATTTTGGTGTATTGATTAGTAGTGCTGTATTAACATTTTAATAATAAATGTAGTCTTGTAATTAAAAGGTGACTTCTGTAGTTAAAATAAGAACTATGTTAGTGGGATTTTTTAAAGAAAGGAATGAGGCACTCGCACCAGAGAGCACTAAATCTTTCAGAGAAAAAGAATTTATTGCCCTCTTATCAGAAGAAATTAACTTCTTCCCGCCTCGAAGGCACTGTTAGGATTCAGAGGAAGAAGCTGAGGATGACCAGACAGAATCCTGTATTTGAATGGAATTTATGCATCATGTATGAAGCGTATGAATATGCAACAGGCTATTGCTTTTAAGGGTTAATCCTCTGTTAACAGGGGTCCTTTTTCAGGCTTATTTTGCCCAGAAAGAGGTACCTGGACTGTCCATAACTCTTTGTCTTTATTGTCTCATATTGTCCTAATTCAATTTGTCCAAATTACTATTACTCTAATTGTATTCCTATTTTTATAACCATTTTATTACTATTAAACTTTTAAAATTTTAAAAACAAGTTATTGGCGTTCTTCACAACAGGAAGGACACGTCCACCTTAAGAGGTTTTTGTGTTGCAAAAGTTCAATTGCACACTGAGAAAGCAGACTGCTGACATGACACAGCATCTGGTGACACTGACGATGGAAAGACTGCGGACTTTCAGACAAAGAAAGGTGCGAGTGAGCAGGGACTCACCGGCGGGAGGCCAGCAGGATCTCGGGCGCTCGGTACCAGCGCGTGGCCACGTACTCGGTGAGCGCGGGGCCGGGCCGGGGCTCCCCCCGCTGGCACAGCGAGCGCGCCAGCCCGAAGTCACAGAGCTTCACCCGGCACTGCGCATCCAGCAGCACGTTGGAGGGCTGCAGGGGACACGGCACAACCCGTCATCTCCGAATAGCAATTATCAAGGCTCTTGTCTAGTCTCACACTTGTACATGTCTTCATACTTCTCCTACGGACACAGGATGGGACAGCTGGGGCTGTGGGGACAAAAGGCTCCAGGGGAGACCTCAGAGCCCTTCAAGTACCTAAAGGGGTGACCAAAGTGCTTGAGAAGGACTTTGAAAACAGTCTGGACAGCTCAGGGGGAACGGCTCCCCACTGGCATAGGGAAGGGTTAAATGGGATATTGGGAACTGGCAGAGGGCAGGGTTAGATGGGATACTGGGAACTGGCAGAGGGCAGGGTTAGATGAGCAGGGTTAGATGGGATATTGGGAACTGGCACAGGCCAGGGTTAAATGGGATATTGGGAACTGGCACAGGCCAGGGTTAAATGGGATATTGGGAACTGGCAGAGGGCAGGGTTAGATGGGATACTGGGAACTGGCACAGGGCAGGGTTAGATGGGATATTGGGAAGGAATTCTGCCCTGTGAAAGCAGTGAGGCTGTGGCACAGCCATGGCATCCCTGGCAGTGTCCAAAACTGGACAGGGCTTGGAGCAACCTGGGATAGTGGAAGGTGCCCTGTCAATGGCAGGGTGTGGGAACAGGCTTTGAAGGTCCCTTCCATCCCAAATCAATTCTGTTCAACAGAAAACTGGAGTGAAGAACATAGACCATGACTGAGGTGTACCTTCTGATCCCTGTGAATAACATTCCCTGAGTGGATGAATTTAGTTGCCTTCAGGAGCTGGTAGAGAATGTAACACTTGTGGATGTCTTTCAGCAAATTCCCCTTCTTAATCACAGCATGTAAATCAGTCTCTGTAATACACCAGTAATATACTGACATCAGTAAATATCAATAGTACCATGAGCAGTCAGTATAAAAGTGGTAACAAAGATAACTCCCAAGAGAGGCTGGGTTTGTCTGGCTGCTGCAGTGCTGGGTCTCACCCATGGATTCGAAGATGAGGTAGATGTCCTTGTCATTCTCTGCTGGGATAACATCAAGTAGCTTGATGATATTAGGATGTTCTCCAAATTCCTGCACAGGGAAGAGACCCAGCTGTCAAAATCATACGTTTTATTGTGAATTAGAATTATTGTGGCAAGAAAATAGATCATAGCTGTCATCAACATCGATAGCCAAAACCCCAAACAATCAGAACATGTCGATGTGAGGGCTGGCTCAGACACTCATGGGCTGCACTGAGGAACTGACTGCATGGAGACTGAACACAGGTAACACAGGTACCACAGGTACCACACTGCAGGTGGAGGCCAGCCTCACATTTCTGCAGACTGACATTGACATTTCCCATGACTGACATCATGGGATCCTGAAGTTCATCCCCAGCTTTATTTCTCACTTCTGTGCAGCCAGGGACACTGTAAACACTTCATAATACTGTGACATTTTATGATGTGTAACATCCAGGACAGCTCCCAAAACAACACATTCACCTGCAGCAGCCTGTGGAAACACACCCACATGGCAGTGAGGCACAACCAGCCCATCACACACTTCGTTTTCATTCTGAGCTAGCCACGATACCCATCCAAATGATCTAAAGAAGGTTTTTACCCAAAAGGGGGTATTGTTCTAGAGATGCAGCTAAATCTGGACAGTGTTACTGAAGTGCTATTTAAGAAGGAAAATTCCACTGTCTCACACTGCCTTGCCCTGGAACTGATAACAGAAAGTCATGACAAAACTTCAGCCTGTACTAAAAAACCACGTTACCTTGAAAATAAACCTTGTTAGGGCCAGTTCTATTAACCTTTGCTTAAAGAATAATAATGCTACTAATACACCTACCAAAATGACATTCTAAAATTGGCCTGAAATACACCCATAAACTACAACTGAACAGCAAACACAAAACCTGCAATGACCAGAGTATCAGAGAATCATTCACACCCCAGACTCTACAGCAACTTCTCAATTAGAATAATTGAGATACACAACATAAAACAATAATCTAGTCCATCAAATGACCTCGTGATCAACATCAAGATTGAACTAAACAATTATTATGCACAGACAAACAAATTAAGACAAACATGCAATTATGAATAACGGAGTATTTTTCACATCTTTTCCTTTCTGAACCCTCAGTCTTGAATGTCAAGAAAGAGGTTTAAAATAGTAGAGGAAACTAAAATTCTTAAAGTCTACTAAGCACCAGAAGTTATGGAAGTATGGGCTGAGCAGCACATTAACTTCCCTCTCCCTGCCCTCCTCTGCCAAGTGACTCCTCCTTTCCTTCAGAATAAATATCCTTTTTTCCCCTGCTCCTACTCCATCCATCCATTCCAGGAGTGCTGCACCTTCAGAGATGATCAAACTTCTAAGGTAGTTCATTTCTAAGGAATGTTTATTTTTAATTTCTAAGGAATGTTAATTTTTAGCTTTAAAGTTTTCAGTTTGTATTTCAGGCTTCAAGAATGACTAAAAAGTTAAAAAAATAATCTCTTTCCTACTTAAACTTGGCAGTCTTAGGAAATACCTCTTCTATGAGCCCTGCCTCACTTGTGAATATTTCTAAGTGTTATTTCACTTAGAAAATATCAATTTATAACAACATTATTCCAAAATATTGGAAACATGTAGAAACATGCTAAGTCTAAGGAGGAGTGGACAGATAACTGGAATGCCACTGATAAGATTAATTATATGAAAACAAGAGTAGTGTTAAGTTATTCCCTGCAGAACTTCCCTTTTTCTTTTGGTTAGGTTATTTTAAGTGATTAAATTGCTTATAGCATGATGGAGGAAAACAATTTTGGAGTGTAAATCACTCTCCCACCCCAGCCATCCTCCAATTACAGCAGTTAAAATGTAAGAGAAAATAGTTTCTATCCACAAAGCAGCAATAAGTGACAGCAGGTGCTGATGTGCTGTGCAGCAGACACATTGCTAAAGATGGGGAAAGAGTAAAAACAAGCCCAAATGAAGAGTGTTTTATTTGGGTGGGTTCACCCTGAAAGGCTCTTTGCCAAGATGGTGAAGAATAAAAATTAAAGACTTATCAACACTAATCAATGACTGCTGCATTTTGGAAAACAGTGGGAAGAAAATACTTGGACATCAGAGATAATAAAAAAATCAGAGAGGAGGGGGAACGTGGACATTACCTGCAGGAACATAATCTCTCGAAACGTCCTCTAGAAATAAAGAAAAAAGAGTTTATCATCACCTCAAGAGAACAGCAGAACAGAGAGGCAGTTCAATGACAGGGTTAAATCCACTACTCTTTTACACATGCCATGATACACAAAGCTTGATGTTTATTGTTGTTTTTATCCTAGTATGGCTGCAGACTGTATTGTTATGTGCATATTATCATCTTTCAGAGACAGAAGTCCTGAAAATATCTATGGAATCCCACCATGTCTCAGAACACATCAGGACAGTAATTTCTCACCTGAGCATCTGTTCTGTTCCTGAAAGCATCAAAAATCTTTTTAACAGCAACTGTTTCTCCTGTCTGGCGGTCGGTTGCTTTCCATACAATGCCATAGGCCTGTGGAGAGGCAGGACAGGTGATAAAAATCACAGTTTATAACAACAAGAGTGCAGGCAGCTGCACGCATCCTGGAATGCCATGGGACCAGGACGGGCTCAGGGATGGACTGGAGCAGGAGCAGGAGTGAAGGGAGCCACGTGGAGGACAGAGAGACCAGGCCAAGGAGACAGACTCAGGACACACACTGAGAGGGCTGGTGTAAGAGCCTGAATGAGGGATGTGGGACTCCAGGCAGCTCTCCAAAATGCAGTTTATTGTATCCAAAATGCAGTTTATTGGATACAAAATGCAGTTTAGTGTATCCAAAATGCAGTTTATTCCATCCAAGGTGTTAGAGCAGTCCAGGGTTGTGGGCGACAGAGCTATGCCCTACAGCGATCAGCTCCAGCTGCAGGCAGGCCTGGAGACCCTTTGGTTTTGGTTACAATGCATTATATACTTTTCTTTGCTGAGCATCTTCATACAGTAGAACCAATCTATACCTTAACTATTATCTATAGCCAATCATAACTCCTGTAATTACCATACTCATGTTACTGTTCTTCAATCACTAAAAGTTAGTACATTACAGTTTAAGCTAGAAGCTGTTATTCAGTTTTCTTGCAGTGGAAAATTCTGAGGCCTTTTTTCTACTTGCAACTTTCCTGTGCTATCTTTCTGCTTGGTGAGAACATTTTCTTGTTTGGGGTGGGTTTATCCTTTGTTCTAAGGCATAAAAACCCCTTCTAACTAACACACCCTTTGCCTTCTTGGTTATCCAGTAAGACTGGCTCAACAATTCTTTTCTATATCAAAACTTGTTTCCATCTCTATTACTTCATCAGAATCTACATTCAAAAATCTTTCTGCTATGCATCCATATCTGAGAGACTTTCTTGTCAAACTTTCCTCCTTCCCAACAGGTTGGGGTTGTGCACCCTGATGAAGAGAAGGCTGCAGGAGATTTTAGAGCTCCTTGCAGTGACTGAAAGGGCTCCAAGAGAGCTCAGGAGGAACTATGGACAAGGGCCTGGAGGGACAACACAACTTGGAAGGGCTTCCCATGGCCATAGGGCAGGGTTTAGATGGGATTTGGGAATAAATCCTTCCCTGTGAGGGTGGTGAGGCACTGGCACCTGCTGCCCCAAGAAGCTGGGCATGGGATGGGATAATGGGATGATGGGATGGGATAATGGGATGGGATGGGATCATGGGATGGGATCATGGGATGGGATCAATGGGATGGGATAATGGGATGGGATGGGATAATGGGATGGGACAATGGGATGGGGTGGGATAATGGGATGGGATCAATGGGATGGGATCAGTGGGATGGGATGGGATTGATGGGATAGGATCGATGGGATGGGATGGGATAATGGGATGAGATAATGGGATGGGATAATGGGATGGGATACTGAGATAGGGTGGGATAATGGGATGGGGTGGGATCGGATGGGGTGGGACAATGGGATGGGGTGGGACAATGGGATGGGATGGACAGGCCGAGGCCAGTGGTGCACAGGTCAGCAAGGCCAGGATCTTGCTCTTGGGTCACAACAAGCCCATGAAACATGCCAGGCTTGGGAGCTGAGCAGCAGGAGTGTGTGTTTTCCACCTCCCAGACGGGCTGGGAAGGACCTGGTGGTGCTGGTGGCAGTGGCTGAACATGAGGCCAGGTGTGCCCAGGTGGCAAGAGGCCAATGGCACCTGGCTCATAGCAGCCTTGGTGTGGCTGGCAGGTCGAGAGAGATTACTGCCCACATTTGGCTCTGGTGAGGTTCCCAGCTGGAGCACTGCACCCAGCCTAGAGCTGCTCAGCACAGGAAGGACACGGAGCAGTTTGAGCAGCTGCAGAGAAGGGCACAGAGATGCTCTGAGGGTCCAGCGCTCTGCTCTGCAGCCAGGCTGGGACACCTGGGGTGTCAGTCCAGGGACAATTCACTGTGCTCCTTCAGAACTGAAAGGGGTGGTTAGAAGGATGCAGAGAGACTTTTTACCAAAGTCTGTAGTGACAGCATCCCAGAATTGCTGAGGGTGGAAAAGCCCTCCAAAACCACCAGGTCCAACCACTAACACAGCACTGTCAGGTCCAACACTAAACCTTTTTTTTTTTCAATTAAAAGCTGTGTTGACTGTTAAGGGAACAGGAACTTCTATTTGAGTTTTCCCTATTCTGCATGACTGTGATCCTTGCAAATGATGATTACTCAGTCTCACTTGTGGTACAGATCCAGTTTTTTCATTTTAGGCCATAGATTTGAATCTGGACTTACCACAGCCTAGGAGCTGCTTTACCTTTACACAAAGGGATCACATCCGGCTCAGAAATGCCCATTTACTGTTTAAATACTTGTACAAAGCAAAAGAGCAGCAATGTATGATCCCAGTGATTAAACACTCATGTAAGGACATCAAGGAGGCTTGCCCCAGTATCATGTAACAGGCTTTCCCCCCATCAGGCAGTACAAACAGTTGTACAAAGTGCCCCAGCTAAGTGGTACAGCACTACCCTGCGGGCAACTGCAACACAGCCTCGAGTTGTGCCAGGGGAGGTTTAGGTTGGATATTGGAAAAACTCCTCTGCAAAGGGCTGTGCAGCCCTGCACAGACTGCCTCAGGGCAGAGGGAGGTCCCCATCCCTGGGGGGTTTATCAGATTTAATGGCACTGCGGGGGGACAGGGGTCAGCTGTGGCCTTGGCACTGCTGGGGAGCAGCTGCACTGCACAGGCTCAGAGGGCTTTTCCACCTCAGTGACTCCTTGACTCTGCGAACATAATGAGGAAAATACTTAAATACTCGTATCAACTCAAGTAAATGATAGCAAAGAGCCGCCAGAATAGTAAAGCAGATAACTCGGGAGGGTTTAGAGACTGTCTGAGGAGACACATCTTAGAAATTGCCATTGGCTTAAGTTTAAAAATGCATTTTACATAGAAGATATGACTTGATGCAGCACGATCTGAAGTGATGGGTTTACAGTAAATGTAGAAGGATTTGGCAGGCATACAGAAAATGTACTTTGAGACTCAGATCTATTTTACTATTTACTTTTTACAGTCCCCCGGAGTTCCCCTGGATCACCTGGAGCTCCCACAGGGCCCTGAGGGACAGACAGAGTTCCCACGGGC